AGAACAATTTAGCATTTTTGATCCTTTAAATATTCTTCAATCTCCCTGTGGATACGACACCTCAAAGTTGTGTTACAACTACCGCGTTATGCTTTGGGTGTAATCACCTTAGCACACTTTAACTGCAGCATAAGAGCCTTAATTTTCTAGCGCCAGAGACTAAAGTCTCATTTGCTATCCCAAATTTGAACATCTACCTTAGAAGTCATTGTGTGTAGTAGTGTGATCAGTGTACAGATATGATATAGCCAAAGATATATCACAGCAAGCAATATCAAATATTCCAATTTTACAAAGGCAATTATATATATACAAGGATAACTCGCTGATCAATAAATAGAATTGGAATTACAATATAATTAAGCTCACACACAGTAAGCTACAAGGGGTTAGAAGAATATGTACCTCCAATGAAGAATAATTTCAAAAACAATAATCTCAACCCCTGAACAGATCAATTCAAATGTCAATACAATTCAACAGTATATCTATAAAGTCAAAACTAAATTAAAGAATTTTGGTATATTTAAGTATTTATACAGTTGTAAAAAAAAAGTTTTTCAAAACTTTTGAAAGAATTGGTGTCTTGAATCGAAGCCCTAATCCCCTTAGATTCTAGGGTTCTCGTAGGGACTCCTAGACAAAGGTAGAGTTAGAGGAGTTTCTCAAAAACAAAATTTTAAAGAGAAAACATTGATACCAAAATCTTTAAAAAATTTCAGTTATATGTACTATGGTACTCAATAGCAAGAAAAATGACTTGTGCAAATTGGATATGATAGACTCGGTGTGACTCGGTATAACTCGGTGTGACTCAATCCAACTCACCAAACTCAGTACAAGTTATATCGATTTACAAGAACTCAGTGTACAAACAACAAATCAAAACGAGTCACAACCCAGTAATGAAATTTAACAACAAATATTTTCAAGATCCACAGTCTCAACCAACTAAAGAAAAATTTTCAAACTGTAAGACCAAAAAAAAAATAATGCAGATCCAAAAAAAAAAACAAATCGACAGACAATTTTCCCCTACGCTCTGATACGATTGTTGGTCGATTTGTAAACAAAAACAAAAACGAAAACATCGAACTTCTATCACCTTCTCCTTTTGAAAGCCGGACTTCATCTGCCCTTCCACCCCTTTTTTAGAGCCGTCCCTAGGTTGTACAGGTTGGCCCCCACCCAGCTCGCCCCCAATGGCTGGGCTCAGCTAATGAGGTCGTTCATGCTCTGGAAAAAGACTTCTTAGGGCAAGGATATTCATCTCCATGTCTTTCAAACTGTTTACCAGCCTAGGTCCTTAGGCAATGGGGTTTCCAAAGGGTGGATTCATTTTGTCCATTGGGGGGCTCCTTTTATACTGGGTCTTCCTACTTCCATTAAGGGGTGGAAGGAGACCTGATTCTGGGTTTGGGGGAAGTGACAGGAGTGTGAGGGTGACACTGTCCCCTATATCAAAGTTCCAACCTCCTACTTCGAACCCAGTGAGTTATTTCGGTACTTTTTCTATTGTTACCTTTCATTTTGAGCTTGATTCTAACTATGATCATTTTTCATGCAGGGTCGGTTAAGCACTTTGAGTTTGATAAGAGCAACTGAGACAACTTGTCTGAGGTCTATCACGACCCTCGTCAGAGAGTGATTTTAGTAGTTTGGTAGTTCCTCAGCGATATTACTAGGATCTGGGCTTGATGGCTCAACGTGGTAAGACTTGGTCTTTTCTTTTTCCATTAACAGTTCACACTGATTTTTGTTACCAACTTACATCTGACCTTATGCCTCTTTGGGTTACAGGCAACTTCAAGAAAAGGAAAATTCCCACCCCTGATATGGCCACTATCCTGGCAGCAACCTCCATCACTGGCCGAAAGGGCCTAAAACCTTCATCTGCTGGAGGAAAGCAGGTGCAGGATAAGATCGAGAGGGTCAGCAAGGAGGCTGCCCCTCAAGAAGAAGAACGTCCCCCCTTGGGAGCTAGGGGGAAGAAAGCGGTGG